CTCATTCACTATGGCCATTAAGCTGGAAAGGATGTTTCCAGGGAGCCCCTTCCCTGGCCATTATTCATGACTGGTGCGATTGTGTGTATAAAAATCCAAATGAATCTGAAGGAAAATATTAGAATTCATAAGAGAGTTTAGTGATGTTGCCTGACACAAAATTAACATAAAAGTCAATTCTATTTCTTTGTACTAGCAAATGATTGGAAAATAGGATTTTAAAAATGATTCCAGTTATGATGACATGAAAATTTGATGTAGGAATAAAACCAAAAAAAGATGTCCTTGTATTCTATTCCACTGATCAATTTGTCTACCTCTGCCCCAAAACTACACTGTCTTAATACACTAGCTCTGAGTGAGTCTTGATAGCTGGTAGGTCAAGTCCTCCAACTTTGTGATTCTTCCTACAGACGTTTTAAGATATTCTTGGCCCTTTTCATGTACATATACATCTTAGAATCAGCTTGCCAAGATCCACATAAAAACCTACTGTGTTTTTATTGGAAATAAATTGAATCTAAAGAGCAATATAAAGAAAGTTGACATATTTACCATGGCTCTTCCTGTCCATAGTTATGGTATATCCCTCCTTTTTATTTACCTCTTATTTAATAGCTCTGAACACGAGTTTCATTTTCATGGGGGTCTTACACATATTTTTGTTCAATTTGTTCTTATCTACTTCATATTTTTACGGTAGCCAAAATGGAATTATTTTTAAAATTTCATTTTCCAATTGTTTGCAAGTACTTAAATAAAATTTACTTTTATGCTAATATAAGCAATATTACTAAACTCTCTTTTTATTCTGATGTTTGCCTGTAGGTTCTTTTGGATTTTTTACATACATAATCATATCGTTTATGAATAATGACAGTTCTTTTCTTCTTAATACACGTCTTCTATTTCTTTTCCTTATCATATTGCTTAGTACTTCCAGTGCAGTTTGTTTGTTTGTTTTTGGGTGGCTGCATTGGGTCTTCATTGCTGCACGCGGGCTTGCTCTAGTTTCAGCGAGCGGGGGCTACTCTTCGTTGCAGTGCACGGGCTTCTCATTGTGGTGGCTTCTCTTATTGTGGGGCACAGACTTTAGGCATGTGGGCTTCAGTAGTTGCAGCACATGGGCTCAGTAGTTGTGGCTTGTGGGCTCTAGAGCACAGGCTCAGTAGTTGTGGCACATGGGCTTAGTTGCTCCATGGCACGTGGGATCTTCCTGGACCAGAGCTTGAACCCGTGTCCCCTGCATTGGCAGGCAGATTCTTAACCACTGCACCACCAGGGAAGTCCCTCCAATGCAGTTTTGATTAGAAGTCCTCATTATTATTTTTGATGTCAAACAGAAAACTTTCAACATTCACCATCAAGGATGACATTAACTCAAAGTTTCTTATAGACACACTTAATCAGATTAATGAAGATACTTCTGTTCCCAGTGTATGAAAGTTTTTTTGTGAATGTGTGTTGGATTTTACCATATACCTTTTTTCTAAATCTACTGAGATGATCATAAAATATTTTTCTTTCCTTCTGCTAAAATGGTGAATTATATGGATTGGTGTTTAAATGCTAAAACAAGCCTGCATTCCTGGAATGCAACCCAACCTGGTCACGATATATTATCTTTTTAGCAGATTGCTAAATTCTATTTGCTCATGATTTCTTTGGGATTTTTTTCATCATTTGTGTTCATAAATGAGATGAGCGTGTAATTTTACTTTCTCAGAGTGTTCTTGTTGGTTTTAGATATCAGTGTTATACTAGACTCACAAAATGATTAAAGGAGTGGTTCCTCTGATGTGTCAAACTTGAACATGTCCAAAGCTGAACCACTGATCTTTCAGCCAAAACACGCTGTGCTCCTGATTAAGCGTAATTCCATCCTTCCTGCTACTCAAACCACCATCAGAAAATCCTGTTGGTGCCACCTTCACAATATGTCTATAATGACCACTTTGTACCACGCCCAGTGTTCCACTCTGGCCCAAGTCATAGCCCTCTCACTCCTGGATTATTGCTGTAATTCCCCCAGCCCCCTAGAGCAGGGGTTGGCAAACTTTTTCTGTAAAAGGCCCGATAATAAGTATTTTCGACTTTACAGGCCGCACAGTTTCTGCTGCAACTCTACAATTCTGCTGCAGTGCGGAAGCAGGCAGAGACAACACATAATAAATGGTCACGGCCCAGTTTTGCTGTAGTTTGCCAACTCCTCCCTCTAGGGTAGGCTATTCGTAACACTGATGACAGTAATCCTTTTTTTTTTCCTATAAATTTATTTATTTTATTTATTTATTTTTGGCTGCGTTATGTCTTCGTTGCTGTGCACGGGCTCTCTCTAGTTGCGGTAAGCGGGGGCTACTCTTCGATGCGGTTCATGGGCTTCTCGTTGTGGTGGCTTCTCTTGTTGTGGAGCACGGGCTGTAGGCGTGCGGGTTTCAGTAGTTGTGACTCGCAGGCTCTAGAGCGCAGGCTCAGTAGTTGTGGAGCATGGGCTTAGTTGCTCCGTGGCATGTGGGATCTCCAGACCAGGGCTCAAACCCGTGTCCCCTGCATTGGCAGGCGGATTCTTAACCACTGTGCCCCTCCCCCCCCCCCACAGTAATCCTTTTAAAATGTAAATCAGATCATGTCAGTCATCCATTGAAAACTCTCCAGTGACTTCCCATCTCATCCAGAATTAAAGACAGAATCCTTACAATGTCCTACAAGGCTCTGATCTAGCTCTATTACCTCTTTTACTTTAATCTCTCTCTCTCCCTCCCTCTCCCCCACTCTGCCCCCCACCTCCCTGTGAGCTCCTTTGCCATTCCTAGAACAGGCTTGCCCCACCTCAGGGTATTTGCACTGCTGTTACTCCTGTCATAATGGCTCTCCCTCCAGCTATCCACCTGGCTAACTCAACCCTTTTAAGTCTTTGATCAGATGTCACTTCTTAACAGGGCCTTTTTTGGACATCCTATTTGAATGTCAGTCTTCCATCCCCTCCCCTGACACCTTCCGTTGTCTTTACTCAGCCCTATATTTTCCATAGCACTAATCACCTTCTGACACACTCTGTAACTAATTTTTTAAATATGTTGATTGTCTGTATTTTCCCCTACTAGAAGTAAGCTCAGTGAAGTCAGGGCTTTAGTCTGTTTTGTTTCCTGCTCTATCCCGAACGACTAGAACATTATGTCTTAGAGTAGGCACACAGTAAACATTTATTAGATGTATGATGGATGGATGGATGGATGGATGAATCAAAGAAATGCCATAGACTAGAATTTCCTGGAGTGTACACCTTGGAACACTAGTTCTACAAAGCAGAATAATACTAATAGTTGGAATCCAGGTGACAAAATTCTGCTCACTATTGAACTCCTCAGTAGAATTAAGTGTCTCACCAAGTCATGGGCAGTATTTCACAGGAAGTATTCAAGCACAGCCTAGAAACTAATGATTAAATTCCAAAAATGTGCAAGTTATTCTTACAGTGGGTTGGAGACTGGGTGCTATGTTCCCTACAGTGCCCCAAACACAGGCCACCCCAAGCCTCTGTGATACGTCCCCAGCTGTTTATTAAAACGATAATATCATTTATTTAATTTGTGACAAGCACTTGTGTATTGCTAAAACAGGTAATTTTCAAGAGCGTATGCCAATGTCATGTGAAGCCAGTATTATTTTCAGTCTTGAAATGTTCTCCTTGGTGAAAAACTGGAGACCCTAGTAGAAATTATTGGCCAAAGAGCCAGAATGTTTGTGCATCATGAAATATTTGTATCTTGGCTAAAAAAAAAAAAAAAAAAAAAAAAGAGTTACTCTTCAAAGAAGAGGGAGCAGTTAAATCCTGACACAAATTCCTAGGTGAGATACTGCAGCTCATGGGACCTGTCTTTTACATGAAATCTTTTTATTTTTTACTACTGTTGTTTATGTTTCCCATTCTTGCCTTGGATTTTTGTTCTTTGAAAGAATACAAAAGATGTCATTGCCTTTTTTTCCTTTTTTTTTTAAACCAAATGTTACTTGTTAGGGACTAAGTATGCGTAGCTAGTTCCTTGACCATGTGAGTGAATGTCCTTAAACATAGTGATGACTCTGCTACTTCCAGATATTGTGCTTAGGGGTTCAAAAGAGACATAAGCAAATATAGAGAGAGAGTCCTACACATTTTTATAAAATTACACTCCTCAGATTCCACACTGCGGAGGAGGGAGTAGTAAGGTAAAAGTGAGGGCAGGAAATCTTCGCTTTTGCATTTGACGTGCCATTAATAGTACAAATGTAGCGCTCTGAAGTTAAAGCATGTCTCTTTCCAAATTAATAAATCTTTACCCATTAACTAAAATTCTTACAGAAAAAAAATACTGTATATGATCAGTATGAGGATTTGGCTTTTCTTCTTAGGCTATTTTCATTTGTTTCTTCTGCATCCTTTTAATGGAATGTCTAGGTCTCTTGAAAGGTAAGGTTCAAGTTTACAAGTCTGGCCTGTACTCAGTAACAAAAAGATTTGAGATGCAGGATTTTGCTTCTTGCTCAGAAAAACAAAAATCCATACTTCACACTTAACCAAAATCATTCTCCATTCATACCCAAGGAATCAGAGATATTATGCAGTTTAACGTACTAACTTCTCAACTTGTCGTAAGCTTTTACCCCCTTTCTAATTCTATGAAAGTAGTGATGATTTTCAGCTTTTCTCAATTCTTCCTTTTGTAATGCTTGTGATGATTTCTGAATTGCTTCTGAATCAGTAGCCAGAAATCTGTCATTGATATTGACATGCACCCTACAAAGCCATCCACCTACCGGAGACTTCATGATTAAACCATTTGTGCACTTGCCTTTCATTCCAACCGTGTCCCGGTCTTTGGAAGCCACCTGACGATTAGATTGGGCTAGAGGAGCTCAGGGCTCCAAATGCTTTCTCATCATTTGCACGCATGATCTTTGGGAACCAAGCCTTTTCCCTAAATGCCAGTCTTGATGAAAATGTTTCCTCTTTTTTCCAGTGATGCAGAAGACCACAAGCCTTTAAAAAAAGGCAGTCGAACACCTTCAGACAGGACTGTGAAAAAGGAAGATAGCGATGACAGCCTAGTTGACTATGGAGAGGGGGTGAATGGCCAGTTCAATGAGGACGGCTCCTTTATTGGACAGTACAGTGGTAAGAAAGAGAAAGAACCAGCCGAAGGAAACGAAAGCTCAGAGGCACCGTCTCCCGTCAACGCCATGAATTCCTTTGTTTAATCTGTGAGCTCTTTGCCAATATCCCACTTTTCTCAAATGTTTATCTTAAGTATTTGTCGGTCCGCCTTCTCATACTTTGAACATTGAGGCAGAAAGTCGGTGTTCTGCTGTGTGTTCATATGATGAGAACCATCAAAGCAAGAACCTAACTCAGTCAAATGATATCTTAATGGGAACTGCAGTGCAAAGTGCATACTTTTTCATTCAACATAGGTTATCTTGATTTCCTGAGAACTGATAAAAAATAACACAGTGTCATCAACAGATCATGTTCTTCCCTCTTCGGGATACAGTTCACTAGGATGCATGAAAAATGCTACACCTTTAAAGAATATACCTGTGTATGTTATTCAAACATGGGTTGGTACTTTGTTTATACTCTCCTCTGCTGAACCCCTAAATATGAATTCCGTTTTCATTGTCAAGAGTGTTACTGTAGTATTCTCTAGAACTTCAGTGTCTTTGTGGACATTGTCGTGAAATTGGTGACTCTATGTCTAGCTGTCATTAGTCTTTTGGGGAGACTGTTAGGCACAGTGTGTACAGTCTCTACTTGCTAAATGCGTTAATTATGACAGGTGCATTTGCTCATGCTTATGAGACGCTCTTACCTGCTCTTTGATCCTGTTACTCCACAGACTTCTTAATCGTCCAGGTATTACAGCGGCACAGTGTTCTACCTTTTACATCTTCTCTCCTTTCAGTGCTTTTTAGGCATAAACAATGCGTATTGCAATGCATCTTGGCATTTGTGGCAGACCGAGAGAATACCAAACAGATCACTCCAATTCAGTGTCAAAAATTATTCCAGAAAGCACAGGGCAAGACACATGCAGTGCCTTCAGACGATAAGCATTCCACAACGTACCGCCTTCTGTATCATTCGGTACAGTCAACTCGGAGTCCTAGATTACTATCATTGTCTAAAAGTAACTTTGAAAAAGCATAGTTCATGAAAACTGCAACACTGAAAAAAAAAAAAAGAAACTGTGAAAATAAAATTAGGAAGATAGTTTATTTTAAGGGGCATGATTTCCCCCATAGGTATAAAAAGAAAAGCTTTATCACCAACTGGAGCAAGTGATGATTTTGTGGTCTTTTATGGGTCCTATTAATACAAGTCACATTCAGTAAGAAAGACGTCAACTTGGTAGGTAGAAAATTTTTACAAAAACAAGTTATTCCAAAACTAACAGGATACAACAGCACACCAACAGGAATATGTTTTCCTCTAAGTCTCTATGTATGTGGCAGCTTTTGAAACTCTGCAGCATTAAACAATGTGTATCAAATTGCATGGATGCCTTGCAGAATCTAAGAAGTCTGACAAGTGCTAACAAGGCCAACAGTCAAAGGGATTACATCTCCAGTTTCAAAAAGAAGCATATATATTCTATCATATTCATAAATAATATCTATCAAATGGTTTCCTTCCAAATATGAAAATCTATAACAACCTATGGTTGAAGGAATGCTCAGTTTCATTTGCCAATAAATTGGTTTCTCATAACTTGCATCAAGTTTAATTTTAAGTAAAGCTTTTTATATGTAGATATTTTGTTGAATCTGTAAATACACTTAAAGTGTAGATGCTATATGCTTATAGGTGTTACGTACAAATAAACAGGCCAACGATGTTTATGTTGTACTGTATAAGATGTTAGCTAATTAATACAGTGCATGGGATTGGAAAGCATTTAATTAAATGCCTTTTGGGTTTTTATTTTCCCTTTTTGCTGTGAAACTGAAAGAGTGAACTATTTTCCACATTGACAGCAGGTTTCTAGAAGAAATCTTCAGAGCTTTGCCTAAGCACAGTTTGAAGTAATCCCAGGTAAAGATGGCCCTACCTAGTTTCATATCTCCAATATGCACTTTTCACAGATCAACCTTTCTAGTGGAAATCCAGAAAGACAAAACAGGCTGCCTTGGCATCCGAGAGCACAAAGATAAGTTACTTAAAATTTGCCAGTGTGTGCGGGGACAAGAAAAGTACAGTGTTTCCTCTTCCATAATGGTAGATGCTAAATTTGTGCATGAAGGGGTCATTTCTGTACTTGTGCAACAGAGTTTGTATTAAAAATTAAATGTGGTTTTAAAAGTCCCTCTCTCTTTTGTAATATATCATGTTCCTAGTGGACTGTGAATGTCCAAGTAATGGTATATGTAACGGTATAGGCAGATGTGACTGGATTTCCGTCAAAAGAGTGACTATTAGGGCTTCCCTGGTGGTGCAGTGGTTGGGAGTCCGCCTGCCGATGCAGGGGACGCGGGTTCGTGCCCCGGTCCGGGAGGATCCCACATGCCGCGGAGCGGCTGGGCCCATGAGCCATGGCTTGTGCTCCGCAACAGGAGAGGCCACAACAGTGAGAGGCCCGCGTACCGCAAAGAAAAAAAAAAAAGTGACTATTAAACAGTCATGATCTCTTTGTGATTTTTAACTTCTTCAAACCTAGATTTCCTAATGTTTTATTTTATTTTATTTTTCTATTGGCCATGCTGCGCGGCTTGCGGAATCTTAGTTCCTCGACCAGGGATCGGGATCTTAGTTCCCCGACCAGGGATCGAACCTGGGCCCCTGGCAGTGGAAGTGCAGAGTCCTAACCACTGGACAGCCAGGGAAGTCCCTCCTAATGTTTTAAAATAGCGCAAATTTTGCTTTTTGCTTTTAAAAGGCAGAGGAAATTAAATGCAAAACTGGACGCAATATAAAAGAGAGCTAATAAAAGAAGGGCATATCAAACATTGTAATGCAAAGGCGAAGTAGATATTACCAGCCTTTAGAGAAACAGTCTGAGAAGTCAGGTAATGCTTCCTTTCCTGAAGCCTGACCTCTGCAGGCCTGTTTGCTGGTGCCTTTGGTCACCCTCTCTTCTGCCCTCCTGGACCTCCACTGTCCCCGGCCACGGCAACTGGATTCCTTAACCTCTCCTGCTTGATGACACAGTTTGGGCGTTGACGAGTATCACTCTCGGGTGTGTCATCCACCCGCTTCTCAACAGCCCAATTCTTCACGTGTCTCACACCTGTCCAGCTCTGCAAACAGCCAAGACCTGGCTTGTTCCTCTGTTCCTCCACCTGCCCTTGGTCCCCTGGTCCCAGCTTTCCATCCACAAGACCTTCCGCTGGCACAGAGCTCCCTCTCGCTATACAGTTACTTGGATAACAACATGATATATACATCAACGTAAGATGCTAATAGACCCTATGTAGACCTTGTTATTAGTCTTTTTACCGTGGAGAGCATTCACTTCTGACAGCAAGTCAGGGTCTCCAGTCTACACCGCGGGCCAGATTCACAATCTACATCCTCAGGCCACGTCATCAGTCACAGCTCTGTTTAGCAAGGGGGCTGGCCAGTTGTAAACCCTGACTACGAAAAGCATTGGTCTGTGGATGCCTTCTTGTTCAGATGATTTATAATGGCCCTGGTTTCCTTTTTCTTTTTCGTAAATTTCAAATTTTATTGAGGACCTATGATGTGAAAATTCTCCCAAAAAATGTAATTGATATTTCTGTATTTTAAAGCATAATGATTAATTTTACTTTCATAATTTAAGTAATTTTAGCAAACTCTTACCATTCAGTTCCTTAAGATCTGTATTTATACAGTTGACTTTGCAGGGTGACGAAGAAATTAGACAATTGATATAACCCAGTGTAACCTCGTTTACTTTTAGTGTCTGATAAAATAATTGGAAGTAGCTCGTGGAGGCAAAGGAAAGAAATGCAGAGAACTGAGAAGTTTCACCTGAACTGAGCAAATCTCTCCTGCTCATGAGATTTTTCTACAAATTACCACCAGAGGGCTCCCGTACTTTATTCAATGCAAAAGAAACTGCAGGAAAACGAAGCCTCTGGAGAAACAAGGCCGACCACCTTTGATAGTCAGACTGGGTCTGATCATGCAGAAAATGATTGCCTGCTGTAACCCGGGAAAATGCAGTTAGCAGCTTCCTCTGACGAGTTCACGACCTCCAGGGAGTACGTCTGTGTCACCTCGAGCCTTGTTAATCTCCTCCCTCGTATTGATTGTGGCTGGGTGGCTGACAGCCCATCAGCAGGGACAGAAGGAGGAGTAGTGGGCCTCCTGGCTCCCCCTAGATACCCCCTCGCCTGCCAGGTGGTGGGGCTGAAGGAGGGGCCGGTCCCGAAAGTGGTCCCCCGTTTCTCCCGATCGTGCCATCTTGTCTGCCGCCAGTGGTTGATGTCCTGTGGTTGGTTAGCACAAGAAGCACAGTTTAAGCACAGACAGCTTTTCTTTTTCACTTTAGAAAAAGCAGCAGAGGGAAGGAATACTCGCAGAGGATTTATATTAAAGAAACAAACAAGCAAACAGTTCCCAGGTTGAGGTAGAAAGAGACCAGCGTTTACCTTCCAGCTCTGCCATCAACCAGCTGTGGAACAAGTGAGCCCCCATCTCCCACCTCTCCAGGCCTCCGTTTCTTCAACTTTGAAATGACAGAAAGCAGATGACTTCTAACATCCCTTTCTGCTTAAATCCTGTGATTCTCAGTCATCGCCGTCGCCAAACAAAAAAAAATGTTTGAACACCTACGACTACCAGGCATTTTGCCGAGTGGGGAGGGTACAGATGAGCAAAACCAGATGTGGTTCCTCCTCTCACGGTGCCTGGAGTCTGGTGTGAGAAGACAGACATTAATCAGATAACCACCTGAATGACTGTGTAATTAATTCCACCAAGATAAGCGCTGCAAGGGGAAGGAACGCCGGTCCAACGCCGGTCCATGAGAGCAAGTGATGTTCAGAGCGGTGGGAGGCTTCCCTGAGGAGCTGGGATCTGGGGGACAGTAGGACCCAGGGGAGATGTCAGGACAAAGCGGCTGCCCAGCAGAGGCCGGTGTGCCCAGAGCAGATGCAGGGGCCAGAGATCCTGGGCACCAAAGGATAGGTTTTTGTATTTATTCAAGGGACAGTGGAAAGAGGGGAGTAATTGAAGGAGTTGAAGTAAAGCGTTACATGACCAGATCTGTTTGGGGAGGAGGCGGAATTCATAGGATTTAGTGCACACAATGGGCTGGAAAAGAGCCAGAGGGGTTGATAAAAGCCACTGGGAAGCTTCACAGTCGTTTAGATAAGAAATGATAGAGGTTGGATCCAGATCCTATCACTGGAGATGGAGCGAAGCGGGTGGATTCTAAAGATATTTAGGAAGGAAATTGACGGGAGTGATAGGTCAGATAAGGGAGGTCGAGGGAAAGGGAGAGATCAAAGATGGCACTTAGATTTCTGACTTGTCTAACCTGACGTGAGGGTCACTTAGCTGGGAACACGAAGAGAGAACCAGATCTGGGGTAAGTTATGAGTTCAGGTTAATAAATGAAGCAGTTTGAAAAGCGTCCGAGACATCCAAGTGGAAGTCACTAGTAGCAATTGGATATATGGGCTTGGTGCTCAAAAGAAACTTCTAAGGTGATGGATAGTGATTGAAGCCAAGAGGCACAGGATGAGATTGCCTAGGGAGAAAATATAGACAAGAGGGCTGGGGATTACCTCCTATTAAGAAACTCCCTTAGGGAGTGGATAGGAAGAGGCAGATGGACCTCTAAAGGAGACCAGTAAACAGGAGGCGGAGAAGCTGGGAAGAAATAAGGAGAGTGCGTTGTCTTGGAAGCCAGTGAGCGAGACCACTTCAAGAGCAGGGAGTGGTTTACAGTGTCACTTGTTGCCGAAAAGTCAAGCAAAATGAGGATCAGAAGATGTTTGGATTTGAAGATACGGAGGTCATCTGAGACCTTAGGAAAAGCCGTTGGGTGGAGTGTAGTGACAGACTGAAGACAGCTGAGGAGTGAGTACAAGGTGAGCAAGTGGAGACAGTGAGATTTGCCATCACCCACGTGGACAACCCATCCAGCCCCGGGCTCGCTCCTTCGCGTCTGTGCCTCCATAATGATAAAATCTAAGCCTCCCGCTCTCTGCCCACAACCTCCCCTCCAACCCACTGTCCCCTTAAGCTTATTCCTTTTCTTTTTGTCCCCCTCCCCTCCCCTGTCTCGCCCCTCCCCCTTGCCTCTCCCCACTGGGAACCACTACTTTGTGAGTCTTTCTTTATATTTAAGTAAGTTGGTTGTATTTTTTTCTCCATCCCTTTTCCAGCATGGATTTTATGGTCCATTATTTTTGAAACACTCCTGCTTTACCCCAAAGCCCTTTGCCCTGTGGAGGTATCGTGTCCCTAAGGATCGATCTACTGTCTGCTTTCTCCCGCCTGCCCCTAGGAGCTGAGAAATAGAACAGAGGTCGGTGTCATTATAAAATCATAAAATTTTCAAATGGTTCTACTCTCCGCACGGCCCTGCTTCTTTTTCTCAGGTGAACTTATATTCTCACGCTCAGCAATGGCTCTTTCAAACCTTCTCTACTCTCCTCAGACATTCAGCCCTAACCCCTCTCCCCACGCAGCCTCGCAACACATCACTCTACAAAATGACCTTATATCACAATTCACTACAGAAAGAAAAGAAAATAGAGATGGGAATTCCCTCATCTTCCTGCTAGCAAACCACAATGCCTGCTGCAATACGCCTCCCGTTAAAATAGGGGATCAGTCCTTCTACCTGCATCTGGGAACTTCTCCTCCTTTGTGGATTCTTACCTATCTTATCCCTTCTTCTGCTCAACTGGACTGTCTATTGACATTTAAACACCAAGTCTCTCCCTTCGAAAACTAACAGACAGTCAAAACCTGATTCCCCTCCCCATTCACTCCCTTCCATTATCATTTTCTCTCCTCCACTTCATGGTCAAAAAGGTTGAAAAAGTTGAACTAGTCCCAGGAAAAGTAAATGATGATCATCACAAAAGCCACTAGTTGCCAGGCAGTGTATTCTTTTTCTTTCTGTAGCCATCAAATCTCTCCAGTCTCATTCGGTGTGTCCTAGAGACACTGTCTTGCTTCAGCTGTAACTCTTTAGCAATTATCTCAGTGAATGACTCAGCAAACTTTTTTTAATCAACAAACTTTGTGCATGTGTGTATGCATGTGCACGCAGACTCAGCCTGCATATTGGGCTCACCTGGGAGCTTTAAACGTCCTATGCCTGCCCACCAACCCCCATCGTGTCTCTGTTCTAATTGTCTGAGAGCTAGCTTGGCATCAGGGTTTTTCAAAGCTCCCCAGATGATTCTAATGTGCAGCCAAGACTGAAACCAGCGTGGAGAAACAACACGTTTCCACACACTTGTGTGTGCACTTAAAACGTTTAATGAACAGCGTTTTGAATATATTTCTTCATACAGGTTGATCTCAAATTCTCCTGTATTCCTCCCATGAAAAACAACAA